CGAGATGCCCATTGCTGAGAGATAGAAGAGACACTGGTCGATAGTTCTCAACTTGAGTTGGGTCAAGTGAGGGCTTTTTGTGAAAGTGGTCGGGAAGGTTCCTGAAGCCAGAGACGTATTTATCACATGAGTGATTGGCGGGACCACAGTAGGAGATATGGCTTGGAGGAGATTCATAGGAATTGGGTCCAGTGGGCATGTAGTTGGACGGCTACGGGTGAAGAGTTCTGATACTTCGCTCTCTGTGAGAGGAGTAAACGAGGAGAGTGAACAACCACTGACCTGGGAGGGCAGGGGAAAAGATGTAGTAGGACTGCTACAATGGTTGAGTTTGAGTGTTTCAGAGAATTGGCTAGTTATAGCCTCCACTTTGCCTGTGAAGAAGGCAGCAAAGGTATCAGCAGACAAGATTGTGGGTGGTGGAGGTGGAGGAGAATTTAGTATTTCCTTGAGTCAGTGGCACTGCTTATTCTGTCATTATAGAATGCAGTTTTGGCTGCACTGATGCTTGTTGAGAAGGAGTATAGGAGCAATTGGTAGCCCTTAAGGTCGGCGGGGCCATTTTCTTTCAGCCGCTCTGAGATCAGTACAAAGCCCACGGATGGTATCAGTTAGCCGCAGGTGGGGCTGGTGTGGGCGAGCAGGCTTGGTGGATAGAGGACACAGGCTATCCAGGCACGAGCTTAGTGTAGAGCACAGAGATTGTGTGGCATCATTGACCTCAAGTGAGGAAAATGTGTTGAGGGAGGGTAGAGCAGAAGCTACCACTTAGGCAAAGTGAGCGGGAGACAGGTTGCGGCGGTGTGAAACCAATGGTGGGTGTTGGAAGAATGGGCTTTTCCTGTAGGCATACCGTGAACTGAATGAAATAGTGGTCAGACACATGTAGAGGTGTGACTGTTAGGCACTCTGTGACAAGAACGAGGTCAAGCACCTTGCCAGCTTTGTGGGTCGGGGGGCTGAGAACCCGTGTTAGATCAAAGGACTGAATCTGAAGTCTGCTGTTGAATTGTCTAAGTGAATGTTGCTCTGGGATTGAAGACAGCAGTGTGTCTAGCTGCTCCACAAAGCAGTGTGTCTAGCTCCTCCACAGGTAGACTCGCTAGTCTTTACCCAAGTAGGTCTTCACACAAGGAGCCCACGCTGACGCTTCAGTGGTAGGTTTCACTGAAGTACTGTGGGTCTAATTGCACACAGGTGTTGGGCATTAAGAATGATTGCACCCAGCTAAGATCACCCTCCGGATTAACAAGACAAAAGCTTGGTTTCAGTGGGTGGGACACACACCCAGTTGTTTGATCTCGCTCAGCCGGCCTTCAGATTCTAGTGGATTGCTCAGTAAAAGTGCAAAGAAATAGCACCTCAAGAGTAGGAAAGACAGAGTAAAGTATTACCTCACTGCTGCAAACTCTTATTTGCCCCACGATTCTTGTCCTGTGTTTAAGAGAGGACTTTGTCATTCTGTTGGATTTGAAGTATGTAATGAGAACTGCACGGTGTTAGATGTTTAGGAGGTGTAAATGGCATCTTCTTTGGTCTGTAATAAGTATGGGGTATGGTGCCACCCTTTCCTTTTACACTCCTTATGGGAGAATTTCATATTGACCTTAGTATCAGTGCTCTGATTTCACTTTTGTGTGCCCCTATTTTTTTTTCTTCTATTGTTCTGGTAAGGCTTAGATGTTGCCTGGAGTTTAACAGAATTTAAGGGGGTGTATGTAACAGTGTAAATAATTAACATGTTTATGGTTTAATTCCTGTTAAACTTGGGACTACTAACCATGGTCTATCTACTCAGCTGTATTTTATTTTGTTAAATTCCCAGCAAAAGGTTGTTTTGAGCTAAATGCAGTGCATTATGTTATGTTATGTTATGTTATGCTATGCACAGTAGTTGGGAATGCTATGGGTAAGTTGGGATGTTGTCTGCTCAGACACATATTAAGCAATAAATGTAGTTTACACAACATTTAAACGATAAAATCCATCAACCACATTTAGCAAGATCCTTGCAATACAGATGCATATTATGATACTTTAATAAGACTCACAATTACTTTATTTCTTTTGGTTTGTTTTTTTTGGCTTTTTACAACATTGTTGTATGTTTCGGGTTGTTGAAATAAGCCATTAAGTATTTTCTACAATAAAAATAAATAAATCACCAACCATGACGGATAAAGGAGGTTGATCACCATGTAAGTTACCACTGGCTATTAAGCCTTTTCTCTCTTATGCCATGACTTGCTAATATGCATTTATCTTAAACCGTCAACAATAACTGAGACCCATGTGAGCTCTTATAACGTGATTAAAGTGATGATAATGTTGCAGCGTGTATAGTCTCACGTTATGTACTGCAGCCTTCAGCAAATTAATACTTCAGTCACAGATGCTGACACCCTCGCCTTCATAAAGGCAAAGATCAAGCAGGATAACCTCTACAGTAGGTGTTTCCCACACACTGATTTATTTGTGGCGGCCTGTGACACTATCAACTCTGATTTTCGATTGATTTTGTTATTTAAAATGGGTAAAATCGTATTTGCACAGCGCATATATTCTCTCAGCATCCCGTCGCTCTCTCTCTCTCTCGGTGAGTGTGAGCAAGCATTCTCAATGTGACAACCCTGTCCATTAGTGACTGGCACCCTATCTGCCTTTTTGCTATCTTGGTTATGAAGTAATATTTTCCACCGTGTTGTCCACCTTTAGATGGTCTGCATGACAACATGGGGCGCAGTGTCAAAGATGCACTTTTTGTAGTCCATCTTCTGAACATTGTAGTTTCATCACGGCAGGTCACGTCAGTAACATCCGCCGTCGCATAATTACATTGCTTAGAAAAGAGCAGTCGGATTCTCTTAGACCCGCCGTCCTCTTTTCCTAATTCCTTACGGATTCTCTCTCACATCTTTCCTTGACCTTGTGTAGGAAAGGTGGTTAGGAAAGGAGATTTTTTTTTTACTTTTCGACCGCAGCCTTAGAGTGAGATTGGGTTAAAATGTAATCCATGTAATATGTTTTCAATTTTGAATATTGTCATTAAATATTATTGCATTTATTGATGATGACAGCTTACTATTACAAAGCCTAGAATATGTTTTAATTTTTTATGTTTTTGTTATAAAACTGTACCACTATACGATCGCATTATGGGTGATCCACTGTAGTTGGGAATGCCATGCTATGGTTCGAGCAAAAGCGGACCTCTGACCAACTTCTCATTCATGCTGAGCAACTGTGGTTGTGTTTGTGTCCCATTGTTGCAGAATAAACTATTCTGAGTGCTCCATCTATCTTGACTCCAGCCAAGTGTTTGGGGATGGCAGACAGAACAAGATAGAGAAGGTCACACGTGCGTGGATAGCAGCTCATTTTGTTTAATAAAGCAGAATGCAGATTACAGACTGGTTAAGCTATCAATAGAACATGTGGCAAATTTAGATTGAAAGTAGCGAAAGTAGATTACTGGCTTAAATAAAACACTAGATTAAACAGTAAAAGCACAGTTTTAAAAAAGAAATGTGAAAAGTTGCCAACAACTTTTTTATTTTATTTAGCCTAGTTACGACCCAATGGGTCGTATGTTCCTTCTCCATCTCAGGTAGGGGCCCTTCCCCCCCATGCCTTGGCTGCATGAGTGAGTGGCAACAGGTGTGCCTGATCGCCACTCAGTGCCTGGAGCACAAGAAGGCTTGTTTTTTTTCATAACAGTGGTCTGTTTCCCTTTCTACCTGTTGTGACCACAATAAAGACAACACCCATGAGCAGACCACTGCCAGCCCGTCAGCGTTAGCTGTTCAGCGTAAGTTACCATGGCAATCTAACCGTGTAAGAAGTAAACCACTGCCGTGAACCCAAGGTTAATCCTGAAGTTATCTGGATAAGTTCAAAATAAGTTTACATTACGAAAGGGGGGGCAAAACATATTTTGAAATGTGGGGGGACCATGTTAGATCAAACTATTTCAATAGGCCTACCAAACTATAGCCTATACCGATAATGTTCAGCCTCACAAAGGAAAAATGAAACCAATTTTCAAAGCGGTAAGTAGGCTTACTGTAAAAACCTACAATAGTAGCTTATGAGGCTTTTTAATCAGTCTCTATAGGATGTTCTCGCTTAATGTTTCTCCACATCACCGCAGCAAACATAAAAGCAGCCTATCAACTAGTCTGCAGGATCTCCTGGTGATGTCATTTTGTAAGAGAGCTGATCGGTCAGTAGGCGGTGTTTTCATAGAGTTGATCTCTTATCTGGAATATAACCTGCTCTGGAGCAGGTTAGCTGTTCAGTGTAAGTTACCATGGCAATCTAACCGTGTAAGAAGTAAACCACTGCCGTGAACCCAAGGTTAATCCTGAAGTTATCTGGATAAGTTCAAATCCTGCTTCATGGTACAGGTTTGCTGCTCCTCTCTTGGAAGAGATTCCTTTCTTCTTTCTAAACATAACTAAGTATTGTGATGTCAGAGTTTATACAGTGACTTTGCTGTTTCTAAAGTTTAATGTTGCTGCTCTTGAGAAAAAAAAACTGAGTTGTATTTAAAATATTTAATTCTAATTATATAATTTATTTAAGAACAACAAGGTTTATTAATCGCAAGTCATGTCACCTTAATATACAACAATGTTATCGCACATGCAGATTTTCCTCATTGTGCAGGCCTACCTCATGCCCTTTGGGTCTCGTCTTACCAAACAACGGTCACATATAATATAAAAGTATCAATAGTGGTTTCAATAAAGACTTGGATCGTTAAGCAGTCTCAATAATGGTATCAATATCAATAAAAATTAACAATCCCCATACCTATGCCATATAGTCATAAAACTAAGGATGAAAAATGTTTAACTTATAGGCAAAGCAATTAGGGATTTGAATTTAAATTTAATTTAAATAATCTGAGTTTCATCAACAGAACAGATAGTTGTTAAGTAGTTGGTTCAGTACTGAACTATTGTATGTGTTGGAGTCTTCATTAGTGCACACTGTACCTGGCTAGATCGACATAATTCTCCCTGCAGTATCTCTGAGCATCAGTCCAATTGAAATATTTGTCGACTTTTACAAAGGATGATGTGCCATTTACTGAACCTGGAAATATATTGATGAAGAGAAGTTATTAACAATTTGCTATGCAGAAGATCTATTTAGGTTTTTGTTCATTCTTACGCTATAAGAAAACTCACCATTGTAGCAAACGGAGAAGTATTGGTAGTTGCAATTCATGTCCAACCATGTTCCAAGGAAGTTATTGTAATAGTAATAGTAATAGTAATAGTAATTGTTTAGAAGCAGCACACAGTTCTGTTGACCATTAGGATTGATGGGACGTCCAGGAGCCCAGTTTCTAAACCCCGTGTCTGCTTCACCATAGAAGCTGCTGTTACTCAGGGACCATTTCCAGCTGTGATCATAGAGACCTATCCAAGCTTTGCCTGTTCAAACAGATGTTTACATTATATAACAGCTAGAATCAAAAAAACCTGCTGAGCTGACCTAAAATGTAAATAACTTACTTAACATCCCTTAAATTATGTGTCTCCTCTAGTTTTCATTGAGGGCCTTTATGATGCCCTGTTATGTTTGTATATGATTACACAGTATATAATGTTTATTTATCTGTAAAGGTTTCCAATATTGAGAACTTGCCTGTGTAGCTCAGTGTGGTGCTGAGTACGGTACTGACGTCAGATATGGTTTCTACGGTGGCCAGGTCAGTGTAGACCTGTCTGCAGAAGCTCTGAGCTTCAGTCCAGTTCAGTGGTGTACTCTCAAAGTAGTACTGATGAGTTTGGGCAGAGGCAACATTGACCAGTGCTCCTAAAACAAAGAATATTCAGTTTTTTATTACTTATTTATGATAAAGCGTGTAGCCTCTTTTACAGTGAACATGAAGAGGCACTATGCATCAGGTGGGTTCAGCTGTACTGTGAGGTTTTACAATACATTTTTCTTATTGGTGAGATTTCTGTATACTAGCAGGTACAGTACACTGTATCATGACTACAGAGAATGGAAAAAAATATTTGTTCTCTGAAACTGAACCAAACAGTCCTGCTAGATTTAATGTCTGGTGCCTTCACACTTCGTACCTTCACAGATCAAGTTTCAGTCTGCCTCAGTGAATGTGTTCACTGTTTACCAGTGACAATAAAATAGAACCAGTTCAACTACAAATATGTTTGTCATTTTAAGCATTTTCTGTAATATAAGTTGTACCCTTTGACTCAGTTTGTCGCAGAAAAACTTACTATATATGCAGTACTGAGTGAAGACTGCTTAATAATGTACAATATGTTGATTCTATCATAATAAAGAACAATGACTCAATCCCAGAGGAGATAATAGAATAGAATAGAAAATAATTCTGCCCTTATAACTCTCTGGGCCTGACACTGATTAGATAATGCTGCCTTCGTTTAGACATGAGCATCTGCAGAATCACGTATTCATATATTTAATTAAAATAGCATTGCTTGCTCTGACCAATATTACTTATCAAAGTGTTTACCCTGGATTTTCCCCTTAATTCGAAAGATCATTGTTGTTGATTGGCCATCTTGTGGGATGGATGGGGGCAAAAAAGAGGAATCTTTTGGATTATCAGAAACTGGCTTGTCTGCTGTCCACCTTGACAGTAAGCCAGATACCATCAGAGCTTGTTATCTAGCACAGACAAACAGCAGAAAAATCAAAAATGAGGCACCAACCTGTGAGCACAATGATGATCACCCCATAATCCATGAGTTAGACCTTTGAAAAAAACACATTTGAAAACAAACATGTTAATCAATTCTCACTAAGATCTGTAAATCTAAAAACTCCACTTGAGGTTATACATGAATATGTGTCAGTATTAGCAAGAACCTTCCCTGCAGAATAAGGTATGGTTATTGATTCTACTTACCAGTGTCTCTTTAACCTCCTTCTGCTTAAAAATACAAGATGTCAGACGCCTCTGACTGTCAGTTACTCTGTGCTGCTTGTACAGAAGCTCAGTACTTGTTTGATGTTTATCGGTTGTCTGCTGGTTTTAAATACTGAAGTCTTTAGAAAAGGGTGTAGTAAAGATTCATTGAAGAAAAACAGGCTGTTGTATAACAATGACAACTATGCTGCTGGAGTCAGGAAGTAAAAGCTAAACCAGACAGTCATTATATTCTTCTTATGCATTGATGGGCAGGTTTGCAGATCTGGTCAACCCTGACCTGTGCTGTGTGCGTCTCCTCCTTTGTCTCATGTTACATAACACACAGCAGTGTCTTTTGTCATTTACAAAAAATGTATATAATACAAAAACATTTTTATTCTGTTGTATTGTTACATAATTTGATTATTTTAAAGTTATTACATCATGAATTCGTACTTAACGCAACCCAAGTTGCTATAGTGGATCGAGCAGTGGGGGTGCGGGAAGGTTGTGACCTTCCAGGGCCCACCTTGGACCCAGTCTGCAGAATATGAACATGACCATGCATTTTTGTTATTTAGTTGAACATTTTGAATGAAGTTTGGTATGTGTGTCTTGATAGTGGGAAAACAGTAAGACTCAGACCATGTCTGTGGCTTCTGTAGAGGCAGCCTCTATCGCTGCTGAGAGGTTCTCTCTCATGCAGCAGTCAGCAGCAACATGGACACTGTGGCCTATATTTATTGATTTTAGATTACACTACCTTAATACTCTCTTAATAGGGCCCTGTTACTCTGAGATTTGCTTTCATACTCTCCTTTTGGGCTGATTAATGATGTTTTTTACTATTCATTACTGAAGTTACTCACAGTTATCCTACCGAAACATAAAGTAGACACCATGGTTTAGGCTTTGGCTTACAAATGTATTTTGCTCAGTACATATTTAAATATTGGCTTTTTGTTGAGTTCAAATATCAACATATGGGGTGATTTTAGACCATTTTTACGGGCGCTGAAGCACCCCTCTTATCGGACTCGGAGGCCATGACAGTTACAGCGGAGGGTCTCCCAGCGCTGAAACCCCTGAAGAGCAGACTCCTCCACCTTCGCAAGAGAATAAGCCGGATGACGGTGAGTCGGGGACTGAGAGAGGAGAGGGTGAGGAGACAGGAGAAGGAGCCGAGGGGGTTAGGAGAGCTCGCTTGCTGGTTATACAGAGCAAACAACAACAGGCTGGAAGACTGCATACTTCAGATGAGGATGATGATGAAGTTGATGATGATAATGATGAGGACCTGGAGGAGGAAGATAAAAAGATTATAAACCATATGCCGGTGTTGTCCACGACCATCTCCCCAACCAACACCACTACAACTACTACTACCACTTACATCTCTGTCCATCTGAAGTATTTAAATGACACGGAGGAAGTCGCTGTTGTAGAACCACAGGATACAGTGGTCCAGAGGAGGGGGCTCAGTCTGGGGCTGGACCAGAAGTCGGGCCAGGGGTCTCTGGAGGATTCCGGGCTGCTGGTGTCGCAATCAGCACTGGCAGCCTGGTGGTGCCAGTGTTTGTGGTGATACTGGCTGTGGTGCAGTGGCGCCTCCTGCCAAATCTCTCAGGGGGGGCAATTAATAATAACTATTAATATTTTTTTTACAGTCACAGTTATTAGCTTAGCCTCTGGCATTTTGCGGAGCATAAATTAGCCTAGTGGCTAGCGGACATTTCCTCTCCTCATAGCTTAACAAATTACATGTATTATTTATATTGTGTCTTACTCACTGCTGGTAAAGTCACTGTACTACACCACGGTTGAATTTTCTGCTTGAACGTACATTTTCTACAGCTGCTTGTAGTAGTGAGAGCAACAAGCTGGAGGACTCATGCGCCCACTGCAGCTCTGCTGACTCCACAGAACACGACTTTACGCTGATTGGACAGCGATATTCAGAGACAAACTGTCAAAAACAGTCACAGCTCACTAACAGTGTGGTAGAAAGTGTGAGAAAAATATCCCCTGCCTTTCCCGGCTTGGCGGCGCGTCGCCCGGTCGTTCTAATGAACAAGCCGCCCCTGCTGTGGTGTGGTACTTTCGCATTAACGACAAGCAGTTTTTCACCGCCCCTGCGACCATCTCCCTCGTGGGAGTTATTGTGTTCTTCAGCTTTCTGATATATGGGATGCACAGCCGCTGAAAAGGCAGAGAGTGGGCTCTCGCTTACAGCTGAATGTTGTGAGGTAAAATTAAAAAAACTACAGCAGTGGGTTGCGTCTGGAGAGACAGACCACTCAAAAAGGGGCTCGTTGAGGCCACAGATGATTTGATTCCTACAGAATGAGTGTGTGGGTGGCTAGGTGAGCCAATTTGTGCATGTACCAAGAAAAAAACCCCAAAACTAATGACTGATTGTACAGTTTATGTACGGTAACTAACCTGCAGCTGAACCATACGTTAGCTTCTCTTCAACATGACATAGTTGTTCACTCAATGTTTAAACACTCTGGCTTAATCCTGTCTGCTCTTTTTTGATTAAGATCCTTTCCTGTACCTCATTGTTTTTTCAGGCCACTGCTTCTGTGTTCAAGAAAAAATGCTAAATTGACTGATTGATGTAAGAATCTAAAATCTCACTGTCGAGTTGTTGTGAGTAAATGTGGACTGTACAGCTGCCTCAGTGATTGGCTGAATCCATCAGATATTTTTGTTGCTTCAAAAACTGTTGCTATGTAAACATAGGCTAATTTAAATAACCCCTGAACATAAAAATAGACACTTTTTGAGAAGATATTGTAAATATAATGTGTATTTTCTGTAAATCGAATGAACCCGCATCTGGCACTTAAAGATTTGGAGGGAGACATTGAACCCTCTTGATTATGATGGAATGCTCTGGCTTCAGTGATGTCTCAAATTAAAGCAATTCAACCCCCCCCCCCCCCAAAAAAAAGATTTTGGAGAAGTAAGAGAAGGGACAATCAATTAACCTACAGTTTCATATGAGTTTTCTTACATTAAACAGGTTTAATGTCCCTAAATACTGGTATTTTTCAGTTTCTAATGTTTTACCTAATGATTCGTGACCGTGCTGGCGGACCGTGCAGCTGCAGCGGAACACTGTTTGTATGTCTGTCAGTCTGGTCCAAACTAATACTTTCACTATTCTGATTGGCTAAACGGCACCAATGGAAGGAGTTTTCTTTCCATGTGGGACAGTTCAATCCAAAAACTTTGAACCAGTTTGCTACCTATTTTCGGGTCTGAACTCAGCCCAGGATGGTGTGACAAGTGCAACAGAGAAGGGGGCGAAAGAACATCTATCTACCTCGTTCTCAACTCTTCCTTTTACTTTACTTTACTTTACTTTACTTTAGCTTGTTGGTTGACGGCTGACTTGAATAACATTAGGTCCAGTGCAGCTGACCTGCCGCCCAGTCGCGCATTCACGCCAAGGATGGTGCATTCAGCAACTTGGATTAGTTACTAATAATGTAAATGATAATAGAAATAATTTATGCTTCATAGATTATGTGCAACCAAATAAAGATTTATTTAATAATTTAATAATACTGACAAATTAAACTCAATCAGCAACAGAAAACTATTTCTTTAAAGAAAAAGCAAGCATGTAACAAGACTTAACTGAAGACTGAACACTTAAATTAGAGAAACACTTTTAACACCCTCCCTCCTCCGAGGGAATAAACACAAGCCTACAGCTCCACACTGCTGTCTGACCCTAACTGGTCCACTGACTCCATAGGAGTCATTTACACTGGGGCACTGGGGAAATGTCCCCACCACATTTTGAAATGGCTGATTTTGTCTCCATTTTTGAAAGCATTTGTTAAAAATGTTCTGAAAAACAACTTGCACCAAGAAATGTTAACTAACAAATGAAAATGCTTTGAGAAAGGTTTATTTGAACAGAAAAGGTTTATTGAAAGAAAAAATGCAATGCAATATAAGTTTCCCTCATATAAAAAAAGACATTTCCACCATAAATTGGAGCATAAAATGTCTCCAGAATGCAGGAAATTACCAGTTAAATGCTCAAAATCTTCTCGGGGAGGACCCCCAGATCCCTCTCACATATATTTCAGCATCAAATATTTAATCTAAACAGTGCTAAAAGTCTTCTTTTCTTGTTTTTGTGCATTGTCATGTCTCATGACCCAAATGTATCATCACGCTTCTAATCTGAGCCCTTATTTCTCCACAACTTTTCAACGCAAAGTGTAGACTGAACCGCTCCGCTCTACTCCAGCTCCTCTCTAGTTCTCTCTCTCTAGGCCTACTTATTCTCTCCACCAATTCGTGAACACTTTTGCAAGGCATTGTATGCATGCTACATTCTCATTAGGGGCTGAGCACCAATTAAGGTCTGATCCTAGAATCGCCCGTCAACAATCTTTCTGCAGAATCACAATCCTTTTAAGACATTCTAGTAATTTGAAGTAGACTCATGTTTTGTGGTTTTAGTAATACTTCATCAATCCGATGTGATACTTTATGTTTTACGGTGTCTAACATTGTCTGTAACTGTGAACATCCAGTATCTTCACACAATAAGCTCACTTTGAAACTGTACCCATCACCGGTTGCATAACCAGGAAATTTCTACCGGGATGGCCAAGATGGGGCACAGAGCGAGTGTGGGGTGGTGATACTGGGAGAACCTTTATGAATGTGTTTTGACCTGGCTCAAGTGACCACAACAAAATCGAGAAACACCTAGCCAAACATTTAACAAAATATGTTTTTCAAAACCAGAATAAACCAACCACCAAGAATTGTGTCAAATTAAAGTTGTTCAGGTATGGGGTATGAACACCAGAGGCTTTCAGCACTGTCAGGACAGGATGATGGATGTAGGGATGTGTGTGTGTGTGTGTGAGGGTGTTGCAACATACAGGAAACAAGACATAAACAACTAAAGTAAGCATTTCTAGAAATCCAACCAAATGATGTCTGCCTTGGGTCGGGCATGGGGGCGTGCTCTGGATCTGGGGTCAGTGTTATCATTTTGCCTTATCATTTCCGTGATGTGTTGTTTATTTATGTTGCTTGACTGTTTATACTTTTATTCCCAATGTCGCATTGCTCGTCAAGGGTCACAGTATTGACTCCTATGTACATATACACATTTTATACACAGTAAAAATATTGTAATTGAGGCATACAGGACAACCAGCATTGTGACAGATCATGTACAGTGAAG